AAAATAAGCATGATAGCAAACACCTTCAAGCTTAGCACTCAGAGACAAAGGCAGGTAGATCTCTGTGAGCTTCGTGCCAGCCAGGGCTACAATGTGAGAGTCTGTCTCAAAAAAGAAAATATCAATTATAAAAAGAAAGAAAGAAAAAACCTCACATCTCTGAGCTGGAGAGATGCCTCAGTTAGTAAAGTGTTTGCCACCCAACCATAAGGACCTGTGTTTGACCCCTGGATACCACGTGAAAAAAGAAAAACAAGTTGGGCATGGTGGTACACACTTGTAACCCACATGCTGAGGAGGCAGGGGCAGGTGGGTGGGCCTGTAGAGCTCACTGGTCAGCCAGCCTAGTCGGTGAGCTCCAGGCCAGAGACAAACCCTATCTCAAAAACAAACAAGAGACTGGAAAGACGGCTCAGTGGCTAAGAGCACTGGCTGATCTTCTGGAAGATGTAGGTTCAATTCCCGGCACCCATATGACAGCTCAAAACCATCTGTAACTCCAGTTCCAGGGGGTCTGACACTCTCTTCTGTCCTCCTCAGGTACCAGGTACAAACATGGTACACAGACATACATACAGGCAGACATCCATGTACATAAAATAAAATAAAGAATTTTATTCTTTATCATCACCTGAGGGCTGGTGATGGCAAATGTATTACAACCACTCAGCAATGTGGGTGGGAATAAAAGAAGTGAACTCTGGACCTCTGCATTTCCATTCCTTGTCAGGCCAGCATAGACTTCAGGACAAGGTCTGAGCCCGGTGAGGAATGAAGAAGAGGTCTCTGAGGCCCTTTAGCAGAAACAACTGATAATGTTAGCCATCCCACTCAGCACTGTGACTTTTCTAACATCCGTTCATGCCCTTGCCATTCTCAGTCTCCCATACAGCAGTGACCTTGGCCTCGGAAAGAGTCCCCCCCCCCCATGAAGTGACAGGCTAAGCGGCAAGGCATGAAAAGGGATTAGTGGCTGCATGCCTTCAAATAATGGTGAGGTCCCCAGAAGCACGTCAGACTGAGAAGGCCTCTTCGGGTGTCCGTCGGTGAAAAGGCTGGCCGTTATGAGCAGCCCTGGGAGCTCCTGCTAACAGATGTCAGGTGTTGGCAGACAGACTGCCAAAACCAATCTTCCTCTACCCCTGGATACCGAGCTGATGGAGAGCTGGGCACAGTGGGCCTGGCAGCCCCTCTTGCTTGGATCATTGGTTGTATTATTATTTCTCAATGGTTGGATAAAACAGATGGTTTACCGTGTAGTCCTGATTTTCTGTTGGTTTCGGGGTCCTACTCTTCCCTCAGGGTCCTGCATGCAATCAGTTATGACAGTGATGGTGCAAGAAGGTTCCTGCCAGTAAAGCCAAGCACACCTCTTTACTATGCCGGCACAAACTGCGGCAACCTCCGACTTCAGAACCCTGAAAAGATCTAGCAGTGTAACTTGTCGAAGATGCTTGCTCGCTCTATCGCAGGACCACAGTTCTCTGGCTCCTGAAAACCCCACTCTGTTCTGAACGTCAAGTGTTCCTTCTTTTTGCTGTTTGTTTTGGAGAGTGTCTTCCTAGCTACCCCGGGCCTGGAACTCTGAACTCATGTGGGTGGCCCACATTGGTCTCCGATCTACGATCTCTCTGCCACAAACTCTGAAGCGCCAGGGTTATCGGTGTTTGCCACCGTGCCCAGCTTTGTCTTTTTTATTTAGTCTTACACTTACAGTCCTGTTTGTACTCAGATGAGTCCTTTAATTTAACAGATTAATAATTGGTACATAAAAACTGCACATGACGCCAAGCGTGGTGGCACACGCCTTTAATTCCAGCACTCAGGAGGCAGAGGCAGGCGGATCTCTGTGAGTTCGAGGCCAGCCTGGTCTACACATGGAGTTCCAGAACAGCCAGGGCTGTTACACAGAGAAACCCTATCTCTAAAACAAAAACAACGCCCCCAATCCCCGCCACCAAACAGCAACATAAAGAAACCTGAACATATTTATGGGTTAACAGTGCTGTCCATATTCACTGTGTAATGACAGATCTTGATAATGAGCCTGAGATTTGTATTTCTCTGCATCCATGATTACTTTAGATTCTACATATTCCGGTGAATCTTCAGTTGAAGTTCTAGTTTAGATTCATACGTGACTTCCTTTAAAAGCTGTGAAGTGCTTGCACGCAGACATGAGTTTGGTTCATAACACCCATGTGGAAAGCCAGCGGGAGGGGAACAAATCCTAGTGTTGGGGCTGGACTGGGGATGGAGACAGGAGGAGCATGGGGCTTGTTAGCCACCCTGTCTAGATGAACCAGGGAGCTTCACGTTCACTGAGAAACCCCGTTTCAATAAATAAAGTGGAGGGACAGGAGTGGTGGTATACACTTTATCCCAGCACTCTGGAGCCTGAGGCTGGTGGAGCCTCTGTAAGTTCAAGGCCAGCTTGGGCTACAGAGCAAGTTCTAGGACAGCCAGGGCAGCTGCACAGAGAAATCCTGTCTCAAAACAAACAAAATCTAAAAAATAAGCAAATAAATAAAGTGGAGGGGCATGAAACTAAAAGAAGAACCTGTTGGGAAAAAAGAAGGTTTTCAAACAGCTAGCTCTTGGAACCCAAAATGGGAAGGCTTTACAAACATACTAGTGTGTGGGGCACTAACTAGTTCAGCCGGATTTAGTTTGCCTGGAGCTCAGCCTGCCATTTAAGAGGCTTCTAGGTGATCCACTGGGAATGCAGTTTGAGGGTCTGGATTAGTTCAGTGCAGACTAGCTTTTTGCGCCTAGACAAACTGCCTCAGCTCCTTGTGAGGCCACATGTCTCATCTCTGGATTGAAGATCAAGAAGCCAACCTGTCCTGTCTTCCTCCCAATTGTCACAAGGTCGAAGGCAATGACACATGGGGTGAGGCTTTGAACCAGTCTCTATCTAAAATATAGTTGGGGGAATCGCCACCACACATGGACCATCAAATGCAAGGATTCAGCTAAGAATTTGAGAAGACAGCACACTCCAACATTAACATTGACCTGTGACAGGCTTGGGCCTATAGTTAAACAGTCTGCCTGGCAAGAATAAGCAGATCGTTATTACTGTTCTTTATTTATTATTTGTCTCAGCTAGGGTTTCTATTGTTGTGATGAAACATCACAACCAACTAAAGCAAGCTGGGGAGGAAAGGGTTGATTCGGCTTACACTTCCACATCTTAGTGCATTATTGAAGGAAGCCACGACAGGAACTCAAGCAGAGCAGGAACCTGAAGGCAGGAGCTGATGCAGAGGCCATGGAGGGGTGCTGCTTACTGGCTTGTTCACCACGACATGCTCATCCCAAGGATAACACCATCCCCATAACAGACTGGCCCTCCCCCATCCACCACTAACTGAGAAAATTCCATAAAACTGGATCCCATGGAGGCATTTTCTTAATTGATGTCCCCTCCTTTCAGATAGCAATAGCTTCTATGAAGTTGATATAAACTAGCCATTATATTAGTATCCATTATTGTTATTTTGATTATTATTACTTTGAGGCAAGGGCTCACTATGTAGCCCCAGCTGGCCTGGAATTCCCTGTGTAGACCAGGCTGGCCTCGAACTCAGGAGATTTTCCTGCCTCTGCCTCCTGAGTGCTGGGGTTAAGGGTGTATGCCCACACTTGGCCAGAATGAATATATTCTAAAGAGATTCTGTGCCCTTCTTTTTGGCTATGAAATTGTTGAAAGGATAGATCCCAAGAAATTAAAATCTCCCCAGGAATCTCCTGCTAAAGGAGGAGAAAGTTCCGAAGGCAGAGGACCTTTCTCCAGGAGGAAAATTACTGTCAGAGACAGGTAGAGCTGAGACAATCCTCTGGGGGCAACTGGTCTCAGCTAGATGGCTTGGTTGTGCTTATTTTAACTTTCATTTTCAGGGGACTGCACTGAATATTTCCTTTTTCTATTTTTTTTTGGGGGGGGAGGCTCTTTCATTTCGTGTATGGAGTCTAGGTGGCCAACCCTGGCTATTTGTGGCACAGACTGTAACCCTCAACTCGGGTCGCATCTTTATCCCCATTTTCCTGTCGCATGGCTGAGTACTATAGGTTCAGGCTCAAGGTTTTGAAGACTCTTTTTTTTTTTTTTTTTTTTTTTTTTTTTTTTTTTTAATGTGTATAGGTTAACAGAAGTGGGAACCAGAAGAGGGCGCCAGATCCCTTAGAACTGGAGCTGCAGATGCTTGATAGTTTCCATGTGGGTACTGAGAATCAAACCTGAATTGTCTAGACTAGCAACCAGTGCCCCTAACTCGCTGAGTCATAATCTCCAGCCACTCTTGAAGGCTTTTACACAGAGCCTATGCAGCTGCATTGTTTGTAAAGAAAGTACTTTATTCTAGGTCATTGCGACAGAGACCACGTTCAACACAATAGAGACTATGGTAGCAGAGGTTGAAGACAACGCTTCTTACAACAGATAACAGTGGAGACTTCTGAAGGGCAAGATATAAGAGTGACTTAATTATGAATGGTAGCAGCATTAGCAGACTAACTGGCTTGATAAGATTAGACTCGACAAAGCAGAAAGCAAGAAAGGGCCCTCTCTAAAAGTTTTTGGTTAAGAAGTTGAGAGCAAAACCGGGTTGCTGTGTTGGTCTAGATCTACATACCTAGCTTGACCTTACTTGCCAGGTAAAGGGTAACAGCTAAATTTCACAGGATGCAAACCCTGGCTCTGTACACTGTGAGAGAGTCATCGCCTTAGCACGCTATAAACCCCATACACTTACACGCCTTCCTCAAATCAGTTGTAGGAAAAAAAAAAAAAAAAAAATCAAAGCGGTCCTTATCTGGCCCTGGCGCAGGCGGCGGTCTAGAGCTGGCAGGACTCGCAGGGCGTTATCCTAGGGCGGGGCCCGCGCACCTGCCAGGAGCCAATCACAGGCCGGCGCGCAGGAGCGCAAGCGCGCAGAGGCCTGGGCGGGGTCGCTTCGGGTTCCAATCTCCTCTCCTATTGGTACCCTTGTGAAGACGTTAGCGGTCACTTCGACCAATGGCTACGGAGCCGGTCCGCAGGGCAGGCGGAAGTAGTACAGGCAAGGTGGCTCCGCAGTGCCGGCGCTGAGCGGTGCAGCAGATCCTGGTCGTGGCTCCTGCGCCTTGGTGCCCCAGCCGAGATGCCGCGCTTCGCCCTGACCGTCATCCGCCAGTGAGTATCGCAATCTCCGGAAGCTTCCTGGCCTGGATCTCCTCTGGTCCCTGCATGCACCAAGCCCAGTAGGGTGGGCTTCCTATGTACTTTCTTTTGCGCCCACTCCGGTCTACTTCCTTTCATCCGCACCACCCTGAGTGAGGAAGGCTGGTCTTAAATGTCAGCAACCCTGCGTTTTCCCCAGGAAGCTAGTGTGGAGAAGTACACGAGCAAGGTTCCCAGCTGCCGAGTGAAGACACGACCCTGTGTACCGACTTCTCAGCATGACCTTTCTCCTCCTAGCAGATCCCAAAGTTTGCAGAATTGCTGCGCCACGCCTCATCTTTCCGATGCTGGACGCCTTCTCCCTCACCCCACCCGTTTCTCCTCACAGCGGGGATACTTTTGAAATTTATTTCCCTTCAAAGGTTACCGTTCTGAGAAGAAGAGAGGACCCAAGGTCTTCTCAGTCGACCCTGAATGAGCATTTTTATTTTGTTTTATTTTTTTTTACAGATTACATGGAGCAGAAGCTGACTTTAGATCACCTATTGTTTTCCTTCTCTACACGTGTTTGCCCCGTGAAGATGGGAGGCACATTCGGGGGTGGATAACAGTAGGGAATTTTCAAGGTGAAGAGATGTTGGATGGAATTGAGGCTCTAGCTAGGAGCAGCCTCATATGGCGTAGGCATCAGGGGGCAGATTTAATCTTTTTGACCTGTGTCGGCATAAGCAGATTGGTGAATGCAGTCTTTCTAATCTTGGACATCATGTGAGCTGGGCTTTTAGGAGTAAGGGATTTTAATGACCAAATTAGAAATCTGCTTCACCCATCTCTTCTGCTTCACCCTCAGTGTGTTCTGGAATGTTCTAGGAGGGTTCTTAACTTTCTTAATGTAAAACAGCTTTATTGGGAGCCCTGGAGGAGCTTAAGTAGTTCTCATTGCCTGCTTTCCAACCTGAGAATGATTCGGACCCAGCTGGGAAACCCCTTTGAAGTTACAGGGAACCTGGGCTGGAGAAACAACCCCCACTTAGACTCTACTGGGAAGTATCTGTGTGAATAGGGAGTTTATTTTGTGAATCTGATTCACAGGTGAGTAAGGGGAGTCTGACTCCGAGTAATTTGATTAAAGTCACATGGCAAGTTGGCTAGGCAAGATTTGAACCAGAGCAAATTAACTCACTGTTCTCTGCCTCTCAGTTACATTAAAGCCTAGTGTTTGACCATCGCTTGAATATCGCCAGCTTTGTGCTACCCTTTATCCTTTAAGGGGTTGCAAGAGGAGTTTTATTTGACAGTCGTGGTGGTATGTGCCTATAATTCCAGCAGTCAGGAGGCAGAGTTAGAAAATTATTCTCCTTTAGATAGGGGAAGATGGATGTGTTCAAATAAAGACAGGGCAGTGATTAACTGCTTTTCTGTCATGACTATCCCAGCCATCCTCTTTCTGGTGTATTTGAGACAGCTAGAAGCCTCGACGTTCAAGAACAGACATGATGTCAAATTTGACTGGTAGTCACCTTACTTAAATGTAGTGACTCATGAAAGAGTTGCCTAACTATATTATAATACAGTTGTCTAATTGTATTATACATAACTATATTGGACTGTATTATAAATAACAATATTGGACTGTATTATGAATAACTATATTGGACTGTATTATTATAAAGCAAGAGAAATGTAAAGCAATTTCCTCGTGTCAAACCAAATCTTCATGAAGTCTTCCGTGTTTATCGTAATTCACTGTTTTTACATTTTTGTTTAAGTGTATAGATGTTTTGCCTTGTACGTAGCATGTGTGCACCTGGTGCCCACAGAGGCCAGAAAATGGCGTCAGATTCCCTGGAGTTGGAGACACAGACAGCTGTTAGCCTGCCATGTGGGTGCTGAGAATTGAACCTGGGTCCTCTAGAAAAGCAGTCAGTGCTCTTAGGCCCTGAGTCATCTCTCCAGCTTCCTATTTCTTCATATTTTGACACAGAGGTGTGTCATTTTGGGGCTGGAACAGCCTGGGTTCCAAACTTCAAATCTCTTTGGTATTGACTTATAATTTCTCTTGAAAGTTACAGCGTTGTAGCCCAAACACAAAGGCTGTCAAGAGTTCCTACACAAAACCTCAGACGCCTTCCTTGATTCTGTTCAGCATTGTTAGTGTTTACAGTCACGTACGAAACTATTTTTAGCCAGCTCTTACAATGTTTAATTTTCTTCTTCTTTTTTTTTTTTACAAACTAAATTTAATCTACTTTTTGTATTTTTTTCCCTCTCAAGCTAGTCTTTGAAATCTGTATTTGCAAATGAATTAGTTGATAAAAGGGAGTTAGGATCCATTCATGACTGAGCATTAGACGGCATCAGGCAAGGCTGTAATCTATCATAAACGCAGGAGTACATGTGTTGCAAAAGCCCCCAAAGCTGTGCTAGTTTCCCACGATAATTGGCTTCTCTGTGTGGCCAGCTGGCAGCTGTCTGTTGACCCTGAATCCTTTATAAGGATCTAACAAGGGATTAAGCATGTAAACCTGAGCTAAGGAACTCCCTTTCTGACAAGAGCAAGTGGTTCAGCCTGAGTGGGGCCTGCCCGCTGTCTTGTGTGTCCCCCATCATGTGCTACACCCTCCCCCTTCTACCCACAGAGCCTATAAATGGCTGCTCATGAGACTACAGTTCTTGGCATAAGTGTCTAGACTCCTGTTGGGCTGGGTGTTCTGTTCTGGAATTGGATCACCCTGCAGAATTTGAAAATGAGTGTTGTATCCTTGACTCCTTCCAAATACATCTCCCTGACCTTTCTGAAGCCTCTGCCTTCTCTCCCTGTCACAAGCCAAAGTCTGGTTCGGGGAAGTGGATCCCTAGCAAAGGGCTTGCCTAACCTTGGCCACCCCCTAACCTAACTTTAAACACCTGCCTGGAGGATTTATAGAAACCCTTTCAAGCTGTTAAAAGCTATACTCCTAAATATTTACACAGGTTTTGGGGAAACAGTTCTGTTTTGAGATACCTGGTCTTTGAATATTTATTAAGTGGCTTGAGTGCAAAACTGCCTGATAGAAGCTAAAAGGGACTGGTTCTTTTTGTGTGTGTCGGGGCATATGCACACTTGAAGGTGGGGTTACTGGAAGAGACTTCAGTAACTGAACCTGGAGCTCAGCTAGCAGCCAGCAAGCCCCAACCTCCAGCACTTGGGTTACAGGCACAAACCGTGCCATTTAAGTGAGTATCAGGGTCTAAACTCAGTTCTTCCTGCTTACAAAGCAAGTGCTCTTACCCACCAAGCATCTCTCTCCAGTCTCAGCAGAGATCTTGATCAGCCCACAGCTAAAGGAAGTGGTTCACTATATCTCATCTTTTTTTCCCCTTTTACTTAAAAAAAAAAAAAAAAATCACTAGATAAGAGGCAGTGCCTTTGCAAAACTTGAGTCACTGGAATTCTTTTCAGTGAGTGTTCAAAAGAATGGCCACTGCCACTGGCTGTACAAAGGTCTCAGACTTTTGGTGCCACCTGTAAAATTTGGCAAAGTTAGCAAATCTCTCTCTCTCTTTTCCCTCCCCCTCCTGTGTGTATTAATCTCCACCTTTAAAAAGGGACAAAGATTTACTTATTTTTATTTTCTGTGTATGGGTGGTTTGCCTGTCTGAATGTCTGTGCAGGATGTGGGTGCAGTCCTCACAGAGGTCAGGAGAACTCGGTACCCCTAGAACTGGAGTTACAGACCTTTATGAGTCACTGTGGGTCCTCTGGAAAAGCAGCCAGTGTTCTTAACCGCCAAGCCTCATCTCTGGCCCCTCCACCTAAATTTTTGAGACGGGTTTCTGTGGATCCTGGAGCTTTCTGACTGTGCCAGCCTGGCCAGCCAGGGAGCCCCAGGGACCCTCCAGTCCCCAGATCCCCATGGGTCCACCCAGCTTTTTTGTTTTTTTTGTTTTTTTTTTTTTTAACCTCAGGTGCTCATGTTTGTATGGGAGTTGGTTACTTATCGTCTGAGCCTTCTCCCGTACCCGCCCCCCCCCATCCTTATTTTTAATTGCACACAGTGAGGGTGCATCTTTGACTCTTGCTGGGAGTAATCGGGAGGATAGTAGTTCTATTTAACAGCAGTTCTGTTTTGTCTCTTTAGTTTTTTGGGACAGGTCTTCTGTAGCCCAGGCTGGCCTAAGAGGTGATGCGTAATTTTGGATGACCTCGAACTCCTGACCCTCCAAGTACAGGCTTGTGTCACCAGATTCTTTGACAGTCTTGCTTTGTAGCTGTGACAGCCTGGAACTCAATATGTAGCCCAGGCTGGGCCTTGAACTCAAGCGGCCTACCCCCCCTAAATGCTGGAATTAAAGGCAGGAATCACTAGGAGGAGGTTTTTCTTGCTCTCACGAGGAGCAGTCAGAGAGGAAGTGAACCCAGGCCACAGCAGCCTTTGTGCTGCTGACATGTCAACAAGTCAGAGGTTAATGCCCATTTCTGTGGCCACTTCTTAAGATGCTGCAAGAATTTGGACTCTAGGAACTCCTCTATTAATAGTTAATAGTAGTCCATCAATAGTGGCCAAACCAAGACCTGAATAGTTCTGTACACAGTAATTTCTTTTAGGCAATCATGCATTTTTTTTTTTTAAATCTACATGTTTAAGAACCAAGACAGTTCTCATTCTTATTCCTCTACCCATAGGAGAGCACACTGATTCTTATTTATATTTTAGTTAGTTAGTTCAGGGTATTGAACCTGAGGCCTTGCATGGTAAGCAAGTGCTCTACTTTTTTTGCTTAAAAAGCAAAACAACTTTATTTTTGAGACAGCTACTCACCATGTAGCTCTGGCTGGAACTCACTATATAGTTCAGGCTGGCCTTGAACTCACAAAGTTGTACTTGCCTCTGTCTCCCAAGTGCTGGGATTGAAGGCATGGGCCACCAGACATGGACCTACTGCTTTTTTAATGTATCCTTTCAGTGTTTCTTTATGTGAATCCAGGTATTTTCCATTGCTCTCATTTCTGGGTGTTGGCACTTTAATATTATTTCAACCTTGCCCTTTAGTCCTTTATTGTGGAGGTTGTTCTCTTCCCACACACATTTTGTGGAGTTTTGTTTTTATGCACATGAGTGGTTTGCCTGCATATATGTATGTATCACATGTGTGCCTGATATGTGTTGAAGCCAGAAGAGAAGGTATTGGATCCTTTGGGACTGCGTTGAGAGCCACCACGTGGATACTGGGGATGGAACCTTGGTCCTCTGCAAGAGCATCAACTCCTTTTGGCCACTATGCAATCTCTAGTCCCTCTTGAAGTCTATATTCTGTGTTTTTAAGAAATGAGCTTTGTTCGAGGTCACTGCGTGATATGGAGGCCAGAGATTGACAGTAGATGTCGCCCACTATCCTCTCTACCTTCATTTTTGAGGCAGGGTTTCTCACTGCCCTGACCAGCAAGCCCCACGGAGCCATCTGTCTCCACTTGGCCAGATGTGCGCACTGTGTCCAGCTTTTTCCAATGCAAGGATCCCAACTCAGTCCTTAAGCGTGTGTGGTATTCGCTTTACCAGCCTCACTTGGTGACTTTTATTGCAAGCCAGCCTTGCCATCTAGGCCTGCCCTTGTGGCTCCCTCTCACCTCCCTCTACCAGCCTCAGTTCACCCATGTTTCCTGGAAATGGTTCCAGTCCTGTTGGTCTTCTGGTTGGTTTCAGATTGGGATTCCTAAAAGTGTTGCCATGCCTCAGTCCAGGGCACTGTCAATAGATAAGGTGTCTACAGCTGTCTCATGGTGTGACTGCCTCAGCTCGAGAATCTGTCAGTTCTGGGTGGGTACCAAGGGTCCTGGAATTTCTTTCTCTTCCCATAGTCATACCCAGTCATGTACTCCTTCAGGGCAGCAACCCCCAGCCTGCCACCCTGGTGGCAGTCCTGCTGTCTTAAGTAGTCTTGATCAATCAATACGCTTATTTTTAACAAGGCCACCTCTTAAAACTACTGTGTACACATCTGCCTTTTAAATAGTGTTTTCCTCCAGCGCCCACTAACCGTTGCTTTTCTGATCCATATACATTTGACTTGGAATTCATGAGTTGAGATAAATGATTGGAAAGAAAATACTTCAATTTGGAAGTTTAAGATTTGTTATGAGTGTCATTACAAAATTTGTTGTTATTTTTTCCTCTTTTCAAACATAATTTGGTAATGGTATTTTCTTTTTATTTTAGTGGCGAAACAAGATTTAATAAGGAGAAAATCATTCAAGGTCAGTCTCACCAGATTGTTACCTACATAATTCTGTTTCAGTGTTAATGGGAGGTGTGGGCTAATCAGACTTGGTAGTGGAGGGCTGGGTGGGAGGCACTGCAATAGGGTTAGATTGGATTAGGGGATGAGGGTACCATGGTAACCATAGACTGCGACCAAAACAGTAGCTCACCAGGAGGAACAAAAGTCTCTGAAGTGGACATGGTCTGCAGGGTTTCTCCACCAGTCTCTGCAGACCCTCAGAGGGGTCCAGCCACTGATTGAAAAGTCGTGTTGGGCTCTTAAGGTCTTGAAACACCACAGTTGAGATTTAACATGTTTAAAGCCAGGTGACACATGCCAGTAATCCCAGCAGGTAGGTGCCTGAAACAGGACGAACTCTGTGAGCTTGAGGCCAGTATGTGGACTACACAAGGAGTTCAAGACTGAATTAGGTTATAAAAATGATTTCACATTAGGAAGTATGACACAGACTAGCATTAACACTTTTCTAAACTGATTTCTGTACTAACAGTGAAATTCACTGTGTCCTGGGGCCGTCCTTGTCCTCTTACTGCATGCTGGCCTCTTGTATTCTGTGCTAGGATCTGCAAGTCTGACCTTTTTTAGGAACAGCCTGGTGAACTTCTAGGCAGATGCTGTTCCTGTGCCGTGGTTGATCTAAAATCTTCTGGTTTTAGTTTGGGGGCAGGAACTTCCGGGTTGTGCAGAACTTGGTTTTCCTCTCTGGGGACAGACTGGTTGTGTGTCTAAACACATCTTTGCTTCTAAGTGCAGTGTGGGCCCACCTGAGTTATCCGCAGGCCTGGGTCCCTCACCTACCTGACTCTTACCACCCTGGATGCTCATTTGCTGTGCTTGTCAAAGCCCCGCCCACTATGGGTAGTGCCACCGCTGGGCAGAGACGGGCTGTAACCTGGGGCTAGAAGATCCTGCCACCATCACTTTGGGAGTTAGGGTTTCAACAGACGACTTTTAAAGTGACAAAAACATCCATTCTAGCAACATCTACTAAAGTAGCATATAAACATCTCCATCTTGCAAAAGTACATCCCAGTTAGGGTGAACTGGTTACTTAGTCCTCCTTAATTCTTTTTGTTTGTTTGTTTTTGCTTTACATTATTGTATTTATTTGTTTCCAGTTACATGTGTGTTTAGTTTCTTTGGTGCTGGGTCCTTTAGCATGTGAGCCCTTCACGGTGAGGCACATTCTCCATGAGGTCCTTTAGTGTGTGGAGGTGGACCATGGAAGAGATGATCCCCAGCAGTGCACACTCGGGGCCTGACATTTGTCTCACTGAACTGAACTTGCAGCCTGGGAGCAAGGCTCATGGGTTGGCAGCTGTAACCCTGGCCTCATTCCCAGTACCAGAGCAACAGCACAGTTGGTAAAGGAGGTTTTCCATCAGTGAATGTTATCATGGATTATATCTTGATAGGATATAGAATCGTCCCAACTGGCCATCAGGGAACCGGAGGTTGCTTGGAAGGGATATGTGGTTGGGAAGACCCATTCCGAAAGTGGGCAGCTCCATTCCATGTCCTGTAGTGAGGGGAGTAGTCATCCCTGAGCATCCTCACTGGGCACAGTGTAAGCAGCTGCTTCTGCAATCCTTCTGCATGGCTCCCCTATTGTTATGGACTATCTTCTTGAACTTTGAGCACCCTTTATTGTTTTATGTGTGTGAGTGGTTTGCCTGCATGTGTGTGTAGTGCCCTTGGAGATCAGAAGAGAGGGCCTTGGTTCCTCTGGAACTGGGCCTGGAAGAGCAGCTGGTGCCCTAAACTGCTTCGCCATCTCTCCAGGGCCCCACTGTCCCTTCCTTAAGTTGCTTTGGTCAGGTATTTTGTCAGAGCATTGAGGGGAGTGGCCAGCACATCACATCCCACGCAAGGCAAGCTGAGCCTATAGCTGCTCTTTAGATCTTCACATTGATTGTAGTGTCCTTCACCTTCCCTCGGTGTATGTAGAAGGAGTTTTCAGAGATTTTGTTTGTAATTGTATGTATGTGATTTGCCTGTATGTGTGTATGCACACCACATTCAATGCCCCAGAAGGAGTCAGCGCCTGTGCAGCTGGCAGCTCTTGGTCACCAGCCAGTACTGCTAACCGCTGAGTAATCTCTCCAGCAGAGTTTCCCTTTTTAATTCATCCTACTTCATGTACCTGGTGTTTTCCTCATGTCTAGATTTGCGCCTCCCCTCAGTTTCAGAAAGCAGTCTGTCACTGTCTCGTCACGCTTGCCCCCTCTGGAATTCCAGTGAGGTGTATGTTGTAGGCTAATGCTTGTGTCCCTCCAAATGCCTATGTTGAAATTTTGTCGCCCCCCTCCCCATGTCTTTGGGAGGTGATTAAGTCACATGGGACATCTCTCACAAAGGAGAGGTGTCACCCCTCTTCAGGGTGACACCCCGGAGAGTTCTCCTGTTCTTTCTGCAATTTGGACTGTCCCCCACTGTGTACCCTGGCAGAGGACCTCGCCAGAAAGAACCCCAGTGTGCTGGCATCTTCACACAGAACTTTGGCCTCCAGAGCAACGAGAGATAGATATCTTCGGTTTATGAGCCGTCTTTCCCCAAGGCGCTTTGTTACAGTAGCTTAAACTAGGAGATGCACTTTGGGTTCCTTGCTGCCCTTTGAATCTTGTCTTCAGCTCTGTTTGAGGCTCTCACACCCATCCCTGCCAGATTTTCCTAATCAGTTCCTCCATTAAAAAAAAAAAAAAAAAAAAAAAAAAAAAAAAAAAAGATTCAGAAGACTGCCACATTATTTTTCACAGGTTTTGTTCATCAATTGTTCTGAATCTGCCTTTATCTCTACTCTGTACTGCTGATTTAGTATCTAAAGTCTTAGTGGTTCTAAATCCCTTGGATGTTGTTCCTTCTGGCTTTCATTCATGAGGTGTGTGTGTGTGTGTGTGTGTGTGTGTGTGTGTGTGTGTGTGTACAAGCACATGCACACATGGAGTGCATGTTGAATCTTTTGTTTGCTATAAATGAGAGTTATCACCCCTTATTGAGAGTGATTTTCTCGGAAGGGGATTTGTGTTTGATTTTTTTTTTTTTTTCCTCCTGATCTGAGACTCCTTAGCCTCCTCCCAGGGTCCGTTTGGTTTTCCAGCCCTCTGTTCCACATAGCAGCCCCTTCCCCTGCCCGCCAGCATGTGCTGATAACATAATGCCCTATCTTCTCCTCTGAGGTTTAGCTCAGAGGCTTGCTTCACATCCTGGCGGCCAGCAATGAGCAATACATGCAGTTTAGTTCTTTCCTTGTAGGATGTGCCTTTACCATCTGCTTTGCTTTCCCTGGGCATTGTAGTATTTTAATTTAAAAATACTTCAAATTTTATTTTAGCTTTTTTTTTTTTTTTTTTGAGGCAGGCTGTAGTGCAGCCCGGCCTACAATTTACTATGTAGGCCAGGAAGGCCTCTTATTCATTGCAATCCTCCTGCCCCAGCCTTACAAGTGCTGAGGTTGCAGGTGTGAGGCATCGTGTCTGGTTCTGCACACCTCCTCCCTCTGCCCCTGATGAAATAGACAGTGGGGTGTGACACCGCCACCTGCTGCAGCCTTCAGGAGCGCAGCCTGTGGGTGAAATGCAGTGGAGAAATGGACAGACATCAAAGAGGAAGGAGCCAGGTGGCCCAGTGTGATGAAATTCCCATGAGACCAGCAGCCGAGGTCTCATCTACATCTGCGTAGGCGAGTCTTTGCCAAGTTACGGCTCTGTGGTATAATGTTTAGAAGCAGCTTTCTAAGAAGCCAGGTGGTCTGGTACCCAAGGACATGACATAGCATCATGGTAATCACTGTAGAATCTGCCCCTCTCCTGTGACTTCACCTAGATACATCTTTGGATGGTTCTGTCCCACCACAGGGCAAGGAGTAGACGAGCCCCTTTCAGAGACTGGGTTTAAGCAAGTAGAGGCTGCTGGTCGGTTTCTGAACAACGTGAAGTTTACACACGCTTTCTCCAGTGATCTCACGAGGACTAAGCAGGTGAGTTCAGGCTAAGTGTCTAGGTTGATAGGTCAGAAGCTAACAACAGTGAGTTTGAAAAACCTGCTTCCAAAGCCTAGTGAGATAGCTCAGCGGGTAAAGGTGCCTGTTACCAAGCCTGATGACTCAAGTTCAGTCCCTGGAGCCCACATGATGGAAGGGACAAATTTACTCTTTCAAGTTTTCCTCTGACTTCTGCATGCATGCCACAATGCTCAGATGCTCACACACACACACACACACACACACAGACCAAATGAAATACTAAAACCAAAACCACAAGGCATATGGAGTGGGGACAGGGAAGGTCTTAAATGATTCCTGGTGCCCCATGTCCATCAAAACCAGTTAGACATAAAGAAGAAAGTGAACAAAAATAAGCAAAATAACCCAGCACCGTCAGCCTCAGGAGTTAGCACATATAGATTTTTATCATTTTTATGTTTTGAAACAGTATATTGCTGCTGTGTAGCCCAGGCTGGCCTTGAACTTGCTATTCCCCTGCCTCCGCCTCCCAAGTACTCAGGTATCCAGCCTGGTTTCCACATCCATCATCAGGCATAGAGCTTCAAATGCTCCCTGATGCCTTGGTGAAAGAGGAACTGAGAGACTAAGCAGAGAACCAGAAACAAACAGGAATTGAGTCAAACTGGAAAGCTGACAATGGATGGAGACTTAGGCTTAAAGAATCAGTAGCCATTTAGAGACAGCTACATGGAGAGTTAGAACCGGAGTAGGGAGTGAGAAGACAGTTCTGAGAAAAAAGTGCTTGCCACACAAAAGATGGGGATATGCAGCAGCTACTAGCAATCTCAGAAACTGGAAGATGGAGACATCACCAGAGCAAGCTGGCTGACTAGATAAATCAGAACTGGTGAATGCTGGGGTTAGCAAGAGACCTGCCTCAGTAAGTAAAGTGAACAGTGATCCAGGAGCACACTCCAGGTCATTCAGGTGCTCCAGGAGCACACAGCACAAATGTGCATACATGCATGCACCACACACACACACACACACACACACACACACACAGCCACAATGAAGGCTACCATGTCTTTTCTGTTAGGGGCCTGATAATAAGTACTCCATGTTTGACAATCTCTGCAGTGGCTGTGACAGATGTTTTTCTGTTCATACTGATATGGAATGAATGTAGTTTTGCGTAGAGTATATCAGTGAGTGGTCATGTGGCTATGTTCTAATAAATCTTTATTTGTAAAAGCAGGCGATAGTCTGGATTGGCCCTGTGGACTAAATATACATAGCAGTAAATACCAGAGTGAGGCATGAAAAGAAGCCACAAACCCCAGGTGCCATGTGTGCTGGCCAGGTGCTTGGTCACTGAGCTGCAGCCTCAACCAGAGAAACAATTTTTTTTTGCACAGGAAAGCTATAGTAATTTATAAAAACTAAATGACATGCTTTTGAAGCTTCATGCTAATGACCCATTCTTATTAAAAAGAAAAAAGAGGAAAAGAAGAAACATTTGTCTTTTGCTTTTTTCAGACCATATGTGGCATTTTGGAGAAAAGTAAATTTTGCAAAGACATGGCGGTGAAGTATGATCCCAGACTCCGAGAAAGGGTAACCTGTTTGACTTTCTACCACAGAGTTCACTGAGCCATCCTTTGGTTAATGTGGTCTTCCCGGAAACTCATTTTTAATTAATATATTTTTATGTATGGATGTTTTAGCTGCAAATATATCTGTATACCACAGGCATACCTGGTCTTCAAGGAGACCAGAAAAGGATATGTTGGATCTCCTGGGACTGGAGTTACAGACAGTTGTGAGCTGCCATGTGGGTGTCAGGAATTGAACCCGGGTCCTCTGCAAGAGCAACCAATGCTTTTTACCTCTGAGCTACCTCTCTAGCGCTTTCTTGGGAATTTAGAATCAACTAAATTGGGAAGTGGAGACAGAAGGATTATTAACTTGAGGCCAGCCTGAGCTACAGAGACCCTATCTCAAAAAAAAAAAAAAAACAAAACAAAAAAAAAATGAAGATCTAGAGATAATAGCTCAGTGGTAGAGTACTCAGCTAGAATGACTAAGGCCCTGGGTTTAATTCTCGGCACAGAGTGGGAGGATCAAGGAGAGGGTGGGGGACCGAGGGGAGGGAGAGTCTACTCAACTGTCATGCTACATGTTACATAGAGCACCTTATTTAACTGTGTGAGGTAAGTGTCCTGAGTAATAGAAGATCACAGTGGTTAAAAACTTGTACTGTGGGGAAGTTTAAAGAAAGGGCAAAACATTTCTCCCTCCATCTCCTACCCTCATTGTGAATGTGGGTAGGTTTTTTTTTTTTTTTTTCACCCAGTTCTTAAAGCTAAGCAAGACACATGGAGATCTCCAGTCTGAGATCCGAACCCAGGTCTCATGGAGCATTGACATTTTATTTTTATCCCCCACAATACTGACCCCAAGCTCAGTAACATTGCTCTCAGCTCAGGTCCCTTCTGATCCTGGCTGGGAACGGAACAGAATGAAGAGAGCATTCTAAAACACCTACCTCTCTCAGCTTGTGTGCATTCTCTGTGGCTCAAGATACATCCCAAATTCTGGCAGAAGGAAGTTCCTCCTCTGTCAGACCTGACGCTGCTTGATAGGCAGGGCCTCCTGTTGCCCTGCAGGCATTTCTCCCCATCCTCAGAACTGAGCCGATCCCTCGTTTGTCTGGTAAAGCCCCACCATCTGCCTGGGGTAGCCTCAGGAAGTTCCTCCCCACAGCCACTTGGACGGAGCACCCAACCTGAGCATTCTAAGTGTGTTCTAGGGTGTGGGCCTCCGCTGAGTGCATTCCCACTAGCAGTTCGGAGGAGACGGGACAATAAGTGTAGGGAGCTGAGCTCCTTCCTGGACAGTTTCAGATTTTCACAGGTCTTTACTGTTATACCTGAGGAGCACCTTTATCTAACTGGACTATTGCAGAAGTATGGGGTCGTAGAAGGCAAGCCGTTAAGCGAGATGCGAGCCATGGCCAGAGCCGCTGGGGAAGACTGTCCGTTGTTCACTCCACCCGGAGGAGAGACACTGGAGCAGGTATGTAGCCCACATCCAGGTTGTCACTGAATTCTGACTGATTCTGTACCCTAGCTGTTTGCAAGTTTGCAAGTTTTGAGGACAGCTGCTTTTCTTTCCTCCCTGTTCGGTTACCCTGTCTGTGTCAGCCGCTGTGAGTTAGCAGCCATCCCTGGTGATACAAGCAGTCTCTTAGATGATAGAAGAAAAACTAACCATGAGGTGGCGGTACAGGCAGTGTTGGCACCAACAGTGTGGGCAGCCAGTGAATCAAGCTGTGTCTCTGGACACCCCCCCCCCCCTCCACAGTTCCGGTCTCCATGCAGTGTGGCAAGCGCTTTGCCCCTGATGCGTTTCTCCAGGTCCCCTCCCTCTCCCTCTTAACATCTTCAGCAACTAGTGATGTTTTTGAGGTCCCATAGAAACCTTAGAGTTTTAGTGGTCAGTTGTATTTCAGGCTTATATTTTAAGGACATTATTTCCTCTTTTACTTCTTTCCTTGTAGGTGAAAGCACGTGCAAAGGATTTCTTTGATTGTATTTGTCAACTCATCGTGGGTGAGACAGGCCAGAGAGAAGGCGTCTTCCCCGGGGCTCCAGGCAGCTCTCTGGAAAGCTGTTTGGCGGAGGTATTCCCCGTAAGAAACTGTTTGCAGTTGCATCCTGATGGTGGCATCCCTGGTTTAGCAGCCAGCATCTTAGTTGTGAGCCATGGAGCTTACATGAGAAGCCTCTTTGGTTATCTTCTGAGTGACCTCAAATGCTCATTGCCGGCCACACTAGGAAAATTCGAACTCTCGTCAGTCACTCCCAATACTGGGATTAGTGTCTTTATCGTAGACTGTGAGGAGGGACGTGAACCAGCAATTCAGTGTGTTTGTATGAACTTCCAGGAGCATCTAAACGGCGTGAGGGAAAAGCACTAAGTTTAAAGCCCTTACACTTTGGAACCTCTGAAGGGAGTGGTGCCTTGGCCTGTTGTACTTGTGTCCTCTGCTCCTGCCGTTGTAGAAGCAGTTAAGAATTCATATGACAGAGCCCCCACTGGGGTCCTGCTGTATGAGATGATAGTGGAAATCCACCCCAAATCAACCTGGTTTTTCCCAACACTCGCCATTTTTCTACGGTAATGTTGCCACTCTGTTCCATTATGTCTCTTATTAACTTGTGGGGACATTCAGCGTTGCACTTAGGGGAATTAATCTGCACAGTCTTCATTGACCATTTTGATGTCTAGATGATGGCACTGGCTGTTGAAGATAATTGTGTGCTTTTTCACTAGTTTATCAAGTGCTGGCAAGGAAGAATGGTTTGTATAACCCACTGTGTTTGCAATGGTTGTGTCAGAGTCCAAAGTCCTTTTAACTGGCACTTCTTACTGTCATCACTGTATGTAATGTAAAATGGCAAAATGGCAAAACACTAAAGTGTCTGGCATAGAATTCAGCTCTTGGGTTTTTTTTTTTTTTCTTTCTAAAGGCCTCAAAATATAGATGAAGGACTGGAGGGGTGGATCAGTGGTTAAGAGTACTTCCTGTTCTCCCAGAGAACTCCAGTTCAGATCTCACTACCCATCTCGGGCAGCTCACAACTGCCTATAACTCCAGCACCAGGGAGCCAATGCCTCCTTCAGGCCTCTGCGGGCACCAGTACACACACAAGTAAAGACGATAAAAGAACACACCACTTGATCAAGACTCATTAGGAAGCCTCTGGGCATAAGGCAAAAGCAGCTTTCCAGGCAAACCAGCAAAAAATAAATTATCCCTTGCTTCTTTGTATCTGCCCTGTATGCGCAGACTTTCCAGTTGAGGGATGATCTACAGGAAGTAAACCTAGACTGGCATCAGAAGAGATGCTGAAAGATGGTGTTCAGATGGAACAGATGGAGTGGCCTCCTTTCCCCCAGATGGCGCTATAGGAAAGGGAGTTTGATTGCCCCTCAAGAATCCTTATCTGAGAAAATCTTTCACTGCTGAAAATTGGAGGCTGAAGTCAGTGTATCAGGGGAGAGGAATTAGGTACTTGGAAAATGAAGTTCATCTGCAAAGGAAAGCACACGAGTCAAGGCTTGGTCCTTGCCCTGTCTGGACACTATGGAGCTGATGCTCAAACTTGGATGCTGGTAACCTAACACTAAGGGTTTACTTGGGACTCCAAACATGTGCCATGAATAAAAACATACCTAACATCACGAGTTCAATGTGACCCTGTTCCAAGAAACTCGAAGAGTAATTAAGGAGGCTGTCGAAAAGTTGCCTTTGGTGACAAAGAATTTCAGTTCAGAATTCATGTTAGCATTTGGGGCGAGAATTGCCACAAGAGATTTCAGTCAAGCCCAAGGCTGTGGGTTTTGCTTCTGTTCCCATTCCTGGAGAGGTGTTTTTGTTTTCTTTTTTGTTTTGGCCTCCAGCCGCCAGTGTCAGGCATGTGGTCCAGAGAGCATTTCTGACAGCAAGTGTGGTGAGCTGGGTTCATCTGCAGTTTCACACACATCTGACCTGAGTCTCTGATGCTCCCCCAACAGTGATTTCTCCTCTTATTACCAGGCTGTATTTTCCCATCCCTAAAACTAGAAGTTAATGTGTTACATCTTGAACATGCTAAAGGGAATAATAATAAAAAAAGACATAAAAATTTGACAGAGAAAAATGCATAATAGATAAACTACCACAAAGCAGTATCAAGGTGTTTTGATCTGAAATCAGGTGAGAAGAAACCGAGAACCTTTGCCTTCTCAGTTATTAGCCAGAAAACGGGGTACCAGTCATCCTTCTTAGCCCCGACCCACCTCCATGGGCTTCCAGAGATAGCACACATCTGCATATTTGCTGAGCTTCTTCCTCACCACCTCCAGTCAGACATAATTATATAGATTTGTTACAAAGATTCTTTTTAGCAGTTTCAGGTTCATGGAAAAATCGGGCAAAAAAATAGGAAGTTCACCTACAACCCTCCCTCCAGTTTATCACTAAAGTCTTAACGGTAGTGTGTTTAAAAGAAGTCTATATCTAAATGAAGGGTTCTGCATGCCCATCTTGAATGGCCATCTTGATGATTGTGTGGATCTCGCGGCACAAGTGGGGTGTCCAGTGAAGGCTGCCTTCCCAGGAGGCCAGTGTTTCAACATCTGCACTGCAAACAAAGTTCAGTATCCCAGTATCCGTGCCGTTCTTGGGTGTGCTTAGCATGACCCTCCTTTTTCTACCGGGACCTGGCATGAAATTGAGCGCTAGAGGAAAGTGTAAAAACCTGAGGTGTCATATGTTACTTAGTGGGCCCTATGTTCCATCCTCAGCATGGGGGGGCACAAAGGGGAGAGGGACCCTGCCCTTAAAAAGCAAAGAGAACCCAGTGTGAGTGAGTAGGGACCCCGTAGCCAGCTCTTCAGTGCAGCCCAGGCACAGGGCACCGCATTAAGTTCTGCGGTTCTTTCCACTTCTCCCTGTGTGTATGAGGCAAGAGTATTGTTCTGACACCTTTAGAAGGTACATAAATACCCTACTGTCTGTATTCTTCATTTTACCCATATTGTTTGGGACACTATTTATTTGGGAATGTACAGATCTATTTAATTGTAACCACTATTCCATTGAATAAAATAAAGCACCTTTTGTTTATCGCGGGTGTTTTGGTCTGTGCAGTATTCTGTAGGCTCAATGTCACAGGGAAGTCTTGGTGCGGGGGGGGGGGGGGGTTGGGCGGTGAGACAGTCTCACTGTGTATATCAGGTTGGCCTCAAACACATGATGCTTCTGTCTCCTCCTCCCCATGCTGGAATTAGAGGTGCATGCCTCCGCACCACCCAGAAGGTCTCACTCTATCATTCCTATGTTTCTCGTGTTTCCAGATCCTGTCTGACCCAAATGGCACCCGGAGCCCATGCTACTAGACCATCCCACTCTGTTCAGTGCACTTGATTTACACCCTTATGCCAGTGCTCAATGCTGTCTCCCTCAGTTGTAATCTGACACCTGAAAACCATAGCAAACCCCAACAACTTTTTCTGTTTCGTGCAGGTATTGCACAAAAATACCCCATCAGTGTCAGGATGGCACTTAGATAAAGTACTGTTTATGAGATGCCACGTCCTTTGTCCTTGTGAGGGATCTCCAAGTGGGCCATTGTAACAAATAAGTCCCCAGGCTCATAAAACAGATCCAACTGAGCTGCTTGGAAGAGGCATTCATTCTCCACACCCATGAGCTCCCTGCAGGCTGTGCAGTGAGCTCCAGGTTCCCAGCTTTCATGAGTCCTCACCCACGCTGGCTTTGGCGACACAGCTGTCTAAGTCATTTCTGCTCCTGGAAGTATCCCAATAAACTCACTGGCTCACCAAGCTGGACTTCACTAGTATTTGTATTTTGAACTGCTGTCAGGTCCCTTTCCCTGGCTGGAGTGAGTGGACATTTGTTCATGTCCCCAGGAAGAGTGCCACCCAGCAGTTCTGCTGTCACACCTCACAGGACAGTAATGCTGTGTTAAGGACACATGCTCCTGGTGTATAGCTTGAACATTCCCTGCCCCATGTATTGAAGATCCCGTTCCTAGTTGGTTGTGCATAATGTAAGGGGCAGGGCATAATGAGATGTCCTCAGGTCATTTAGGACGTGCAGACCCCGGCCTCTTTTCCCTTACCAGCCGGGAAGTATGTGGTTTTTGCTCTGCCATGGGCTCCCACCATGTGCTGACTTATCTACCATAGACATAAAAGCGGCAGTCCTCTGGGTTGTGGACTAGTACTTCCAATGTGTGGCTCAAACCTTTTATCTTCATAAACTGATCATGCCATCTTTTTGTTAGTAGTGACGGGGAAATGGAGATTTCAGTGTGGTTATGCTAGTGTGCCTTATTCCAACTAAAAATTATTTCAAGGAATCACTTGGATAATCAGAAATCTAATATTGACGTAATTTCATCATTTTTGATCGATTAAAATTGTTGAATATGCTTACAGGAAGAAATTTTGACTCTGGAAGTTCTTTTTCCTTCTCCCATTCTGTTTTCCCCAGATTTTCCCGAGTGCCTCCCTTTTATTCTCACATCTCAACACACACACCTATGCAGTCATTGCAATCATACTGGGGATAAGAAACAAGCTGAGAGAAGTTTTATTTTTATTTAAAACAGAAAGAAGTGGTGTTACATCTTATAAATAACTATAAATATAGAGTGATAGGCAAAATCTTCCAAATAAATAAATAAATATTGCCACATGCAAAGGGACCTAAGACATTACAAGATTACCTTGGTTCTGCCAAAAAAAAAAAAAAAAAGTCCCATGGTGGTGTTGAGCATTGAGCTAGTGCATTTACAACCAGTTTGCTACTCAAGTCCTTTCTGGGTTTTTCCATAGTTGTTGCAGTGGGAGGGCCTCTGGTGGCTACTGTACAGAATGATACCCATGATGGGAAATGAAAGCCAGTTAAAAGCCAGTGAGAAAAAGGTTTGGAGTGCCTGGCATCTACTGCTCTGCAAGATTTTAGTATTTCAGAGTGGGAGCTGGTCCTGCACATTGCCTGATGTTTCTCTGATAAGAAAAACAAACAAACAAACAAAAAACCAGTGGATCTGTTTCTAAGTCTGTGCACAAAGACAGTGGAAAACAGGAAGTTGTCTGAATGGGCCTCCACGATTTCTATCTTCAGGTGTCCTTTTAAAGAAAGGTAGAAAGGGGTGCCCTTCGATTGAGGTCTATCACCAGCTAAGACTCAGGAGAACTCAAAAGCCTGCCTAACACGTCTGGCTGTTCACTGTGAGGCTATGCTCACACCCCAGGACAGCCCTGGAGTTCCGGGATGACTGAAAAGTGTCTTCATTTAATGCCCTAAGAGTTCCTAAGAGCCCCCATTTCTGGGTTAACCCCTGCTAGAGACCTCTTCCGCTAGCTAGACCTTGGGTCCCATTTCATGTAGGGGGGTGGGTGGGTTCTTGTTTTTTTTTTTTTTTTTTTTTTTTTTCAGTCCACAGAAAACCTCACCCAGAGCAGCTCACAGTTCCAGGACTCTTCCTTTCCTGGCACATCTTCACAATTCACCTAGAGTACATCACAACTCAACCAGCTGGTGGAGGCTTTCACTAAAATGCCTCTTGAGAGAGTTTGTGCATCTGCACTTTGCAAAACACCCTAGCAAGATGGACTTTCCTGAGCCAGGGCAGCAGAAAAGGTCGTTCTATCTCACAGAGCTGGGAACAAAGCTGCGAAGGGAGCAGGGTTGGCATTCGTTCTACGAATCTGGCAAAGGGTGTTCAGTCTGCAGGGAGGCTGAGCTTTGTGGAATATGTTTCAGTTCACCATGCCTTTGGATCTACTTGTCAGCCTCCTGCCGATCTTTTTTTGAAAGCTCTTCCAGAAAGGGGCCAGGGTAGAAATAAGCGTTTTCTTCAACTTGCCCAGTGAAGCCATTATGGTGCTCAAACTCAAAAACCCATATGGGTCCCAGAACAGTAACAAAAAGCTGTAGAGATAGCCTCTTCCCTGGGTTCAAGGTGTGTACTCTGAACCTCTGTTTTTTAATGCTAGTTGATCGGTGAGAATGCTAGGCAAGAGACAGGCTAATAAAGCCAAGTGTCTAGTTTACCTGTTAGTTAAAAAATAAAATAAGCCAGGTGTAGTTTACCTGATGGGGTCTTTAAAACAGGTTAACATTATAAATTACGTGCATGTGTATGGGGGTATGTGCATGTGAGTGCAGGTGCCCAGGCAGGCTAGACGCATCAGATTCCCCTGGAGCTAGAATTACAGGTAGTTGTGGGTACTGAGAACTGTCCTCTGTGAGCAGCACAGGCTCTATACCTCTGAGCCATCTCTCCAGCCTTCCTCTGTTGGTGCTTGGCTGGGACCTCGCAGGTCCAAAGGGAAGAGAGAGAAGCAGGCACCCAGCCTTCCACCTTACACATGGGCTGAGCTGACTGGAGGATGGAAGCTGAGACCGCCTGGGCTGGTGGCCTAAGCGAACCTAGGAAAGGGGCGGCACCGGTCCATGCCTCCTGCGCCCCCGCGAGCATCCCCGCGGCCTCTGCGCAGGACGCCTAGTGGGTCACTGGCAGCTGGGCCGCCTTCCTCGGCGCTCGGAAGCTCCCGCGAGCAGGATACAGGCACGGGCGTGGCACGGGGCCGCGGCTTGAGCACGTTCAGCGGGTCCCACTCGGGAGGGTCCTCGGCGCTGCGCGTGTGGCGCCGTGGCCGCGCGGTGTGAAAGCGCAACAGCGGCACCTCGTTCCTGCGCGCCAGGAACTGCGAGAAGGGCGGCGGGTTGGTGCCAGGCTCAAAGGGGCGCTTGGCGCGGCCCAGGCTCACCAGGTAGTGATGCTGGGGCGACAGGTAGACGTCATAGCCGTTCTCCAGAGTCCGCTGGCGGAACCTGCAGTTCTCAGGGCTGAAGTGATGCTGTAAGGGCAGGGGAGCAAGAGGAGGTGAGGGCCCCCGCTCCGCTCCGTTAAGAGGTACTGCTCAGCCCAGCCCCTCACCTCCCTCTTAAGAAAGGATGTCCAAGCGCAGAACTTGGCTCCAGCTTCAGGGGAGTGGTCGCTGCAAGGACACTGGAGAGCACTGTCTGGAGGACCTTGGTCTGGAGGTCAGCCTGATGGAGCCAATGACACTCCTCTTGTTCAGGGTCCGCGAGGAGAACATTTCATATCCTCTTTCATATTTGTATTCATCTATTCTCTCTGTTTATGTCTCTGTTTCTACTGTCTGCAGCGGGGATTAGGCTAACATTCATGGATGGTCTCCAGCCCCTCCTCCTCTGCCCCATCCTCCCCCCCCCCGGGGGCTTTCATACAGGGTAGTCAAGTGCCTTATCTGAGCTACAATCCCAGCCCTTTTTCTTTCTCTTTCTTTCTTTCTTTCTTTCTTTCTTTCTTTCTTTCTTCCTTCCTTCCTTCCTTCCTTCCTTCCTTCCTTTCTTTCTTTGTTTCTTTTCTTTTCTTTTTTTCTTTTCATTTTGAGGCAGAGTCTCACTGAATTACCCAAGCTGGCTTTGAACTCTGCTGAGTACTCCAGGGAGACCTTGAACTTTCAATTCTCCTGCCTCGGTCGACCGAGCAGCTTTGATTGATGGCTTGTGCCACTGGGCCTGGGTTGTATACCTTTTAAAGCTCTACTGTCTGGAAGGAGGTTGTGGCTTGTCTCTTTGCCTAGAGACTGGAGCTGGGATGGACTTTGAAGGGCCACATATAAGGGAGGGTACTGACACCAAGACATAATGTAGATTAAGGTCAGGGACATGAACGTGCTAACAGATATTCTGCGTTTGAACCTCATTCTCAATTGTACCGAGTTTTATTGAGTGCCTACCTGGACCCTTACATATTTCCAAACTGCACAAAGAATCCTAGAGGTGAGGGCTTCCTGTGGGCTCAGGTCTCTATCCACTCTGGACAGATGCCATTTTCAGTGCTGGGATGTGCACAGGCGTAACTAAACAGAACTCTACTTCAGGAACTGTGCAGTGGACATTGATTGCTAGGGGACTCCCGAAGCAATCAATTGTTCATTTCTGCCTGGAAATTATTGGGACTATGCTTTTGCCTTTGGTTTTGAAAAGCCTTGACTTACAATCTGAAAGACCAGCCATCTCCCTGGGGGCACAGGAAATTAATTGGGGTCATTAGTAGGAGGGAGAGCTTCCGGTCACATGGTGCACTTCACTTCTAAGGGAGGAGACCGTCACTGGGAGGATTGAGAGCCCTCACCCAAGGCCGCAGTTGGTAACAGAACTGCGAAGACACCAAGGGCCGATCACCATATCGAGTGTATACATTACAAGCATGAACTGACATGGCTTTAGAACCTACAACATAGCAGGGACTCTGTTCCATGCAAGAATGGGTACCAGGGGGCAGTGCAGGCTAGAGGCCCAGAGCCTTGTTCCAAACCCCAGCTGTGTAAACCTGAGTGTTTCTTACTGAGACTGCATGATGTGCATAGTAGCCAAGGGACACTCTAAACGGAATCTCTGAAGTCAGATATATCAAAGCCCTGAGGAGACATACAGTAAGGGCCGGAGAGATGGCTCAGCGTTTAAGAGCCTGTGCATGCTGCTTCCCCACACAGACATCGGATTTTAAAAAACGGCATCTTAGAAAAAGAGATAAAGTCATTATAAAGTGGTGAGCAATACAAAAAAGAAACTCACCGATCCAAAAATGTTGCCTCTGAGATCCATGCAAAGGAACCTTCTAGTCACGGCTCCTGTTATGATCACGAAGCCAGCATCCTCCGATCTAATCATCAGGGCACCTGCAAGAAAGACTCTCAGGTCAAAACATGCAGCTAACCCTCCCTTGAAACACTTACTGAAAGTACACCCCCACAACACCTCTCTGTGACATCACACAACTCTCCATGTCTAGCTATTCCTCTCATTTCCTGTGACTCCCAACTCCAACAGCAACACTTACTTTATTGTCCTGCTTTATTGTCCTTCATGCATGGGGCTCCTTGATTTCCCAGTCATCACACACACACACACACACACACACACACACACACACACACACACACACACACTGCCCTCCGTATGGATGGCTAGTATCTTAAGTGTTGCAGCAGAGGCTGTATCCTAAGCTGGCTGCGTCTGTGATTTTAAATTCTATGTTGAAACGTCATTCAATAACCCAGCTTATATAGAGCCCAGTGTTCCCTCGCTGCATGTCCCTACCTGTGTGTTCAGAGTTGACCTCTTGTCCCTGCCTTTTGAAGTTGCTTGCACTTCGAGGTCAGCTGTAGTCACCTCTGTGCCTTCTTACCTCTCTGATCAGAAGTGACTGCTCTTCAGCATGGTACTCCTGCTGTGACAGCTGCCCCTCACCTCACCCTACCATATTTGCATGCCTAAAACTAATCCTGGAGAAGCAGAGCTCCCCCCCACTCCAGACATGTAATAGACCCCAGGGATGGATAGCATTTACTTCCTGGACCAGTCCTTCGTGCTTTTCTTACTTGGAGATGCTCTTTGTAGATGCTGATCTTGGACAACTTTCGATAGCTTCACTTAAAAACTTGACTTTTTTCTCTTTAATTTTTTTTTTTTATTTTACATATCGATCCCAGTTCCCTCTCTCTCCCATCCTCCCATTTCCCCCCATAAACCCCCCTATACCATCCATCATCCACTCCCCAGGGAGGGTGAGACCTTCCAAGAGGAGTTCCTCACAGAAGGGGAAAGGGACAAGATCTCCTGAGTAAATTGGGAGCAAGGTGGGAGGGGAGAGGAGTTAGGAGAAAGAGGAGGGGAGAAGAGGAGGGGACAGGAGAACATGAGGCAGCAGGAAGATTGAGTTGGCGGAAGAATAGAGGAGAGCAAGAAAAGAGATACCATAATAATAGAGGGAGCCATTGTAGGTTACAGAGAATTCTGGCACTAGGGAAATGTTCAGAGACCTACATGGATGACCCCAACTAAGAATCTAAGCAATAGTGGAGAGGCTACCTTAAATGCCCTTCCTGATAATAAGATAGAAAAACTTGACTTTGACTAAGGCCTGAAGCATGCCTGTGTCATCTTCACCTTAAATGGTCAACACTATTTATAGACGGGCATTCTGCAATAGAGGCACAGTTAAGCTACATTGTGTTGTAAAATGAATGGTGATTCAGCAAGACTTGACATTCTCTGTTAAGTCATTCACTGAGATCATTGAGGACACTTTCAACTGCCTGCTGTGGGGCTTCCCTTCAGGGCCTCAAGGAGGCTGCTCAGACACGACTTCTAATCCCTCTGCAGAAAAGAGTCTGGGCCTAGCGTGTGGTAGGACCTTCAAGGGAATGGAGCAGGCAAAGGTCAGATACCCTCTAACTACAGAACCTGGTACATGCCAAAGCTGGCATGACGTGGACAGAGGGAACGAAGGCAGAATGAGCTAGGAAGGTGACAGCAGCAGAGGACCGACCAGGAAAATCCATTTGTTTCAAATGTTTCAAAGTTTGAGTGCAGGTTAACTTTCAGCCAAATGGGGAAAGGGGCCACACATGCTCTCCCATATATGTCTATGTCTCAGACATAAGAAACACAGAAGAATTTCTGTCCTGAGGGCTTTTTGGTCCAATCAAGGCAGGGGCAGGGTTTGGGGGGGGTTGAAGGACTACATTTAGTGTTTTTTTCTTTTCCTTCCTTCCTTTCTTTTTGAGTGGATGCCCTCTTAAGCTCTCTATGTACTTTAAATTCTCAAAACAACTGTTACATTGTTAAAAAAATAAACATAATCACTTTAGTGGTTATTGTAGCATCTTTAAGAGCCAAAGCAGAATTCAAACTCAGGTCAGTGACATCTTCCCGCCATGCAGCTGTAGCCTCTAACAGAAAAAGTGCTAAAATGCCACAAGGACATGGAGGGTCTGTGCCCAGGAGGGATGCTGGTCCCAATCTGGCTCCTTAAGAACCTTGTAGCCTTGGGAGTTTCATTGTGGCGGCCATGTGAAGTTAGCTCCTTAGCTGTCTGTGAAGTTAGCATAGCACCCAGAGCACCGCAGTCCTTCCCTGCTTTGTGGGGTTACCCACAATCAAATGGGATACCGGTTGCAAAAATGACAGCTGGCCACTTCCTCACCCTGACACCTTGCCAGCCTACCTGATGGTTGGAGGCGCTGCAGGCAGTGAGCACAGGGTACATGCCCTCACTCTAGGGCCAGTCCTAGAGAAAGTGAGTGACTACCAGAGGAGAGGGAGCACTTCTGAATGGTGTTTTGAATGAAACCAACAGAAGCCAGCAGGAAGGTTCACTTGGCCATGTACACGCTAAGCCACACACCAAAAGGAAAGAATGGGCTATTAAGCAAGGGTGATAGGCAACACTTTTCTGCCATTTCCAAAAAGTTAGCACAATGGGAAGTGGGAAGCTGGCCTTGTTCCCATTAGAAAAAGCTTACCAACCCTGGAGAAGCCCCAAGAGCCTTCTGAGTTCAGGGGAGCATGGGTATCATTTGGGCAGATCATTCCATCTTGTAAAAGAACAATGACTAGAAAAGGAGTTGGGCACTCAGCTCTTAACCAAGAACTTACTAAAGCGACACTTTAAAACAGGAAAACAGAAACTCTTGCCTCACTTAATCTTCTTGAAGATGTAATGAGCTATCCTAACCTCCGGTGGCACTGAATACATGCGGTACACAGACAAACATGCAAACAAGACCATCATGCTTATGCAATAAAATAAACAAGTGAGATCATAATAAAACCAAGTTCTGCTGTAAAAATACAATTAATTAGGGGGAAGATTGTACTATTAATGTGTAAAGATAAGAACAAAATCAAGTATGTTCTTATGGAAATGCACATATCTGAGTAGTACTTCAGGTCCAGTGTTACTTCCCATCCCCAAGACAAAGATTACACAAGATAAAATCACACACAGAAACCAAAGTCAGGTCAGTTCTCAAGGAAAAAGGCCCACCATTCCGACTGCCATTCAGACTGACTTCTTGGCCTCTGCATGATTCTAGGGACATCCTATACGCATTCTGTAATTATAAGCAAGTTTCCAGTCTTCAAAGCTGAAACAGTTTACCCTTATCCACCACCCAGCATTTGAAAATTGCACGTGGTCTTGCAGCAGAAGTCACGGCAGTCTACCAGGGGAGGAATACAATGGTGTTTCCCAAAAGTTTGATAGTGCACTGGGAGACAAGAGGTCTATGAAGAACTGTATCACTTTTCCAGTGGCAGGGGACTGTGTGGTGTCTGGCACCTTGTAAGTACTGTTCCACAGAGCACAAGCAGTGCTGGGGACCTGTGAAATGTACCCAGATTTATTCTAGATTCTCCCTATCAGGCTCAGACTTCCAAGAGGGAACTCCTGGATCCTACTTTATCCCTTGAGTTATGGAGGATGCTTGGTATTTGGAGAGAGCATTTCTTCTCCTCACATCTCCTGCCAGTGTAGCCTTTGGACAGGTGTAAGCTGCTGGCTTGGCATGTGCCTATAGCTGCCTGCTAGGTTTAAGGTCTATTGGCCATAGCAGAGAGAATGTCACGCATGCCTCGAGGCTACATCCATAAACTATTACAACAGCAAAGAGGAGATCATAATCCCTATAGAAAGTTCTTTAGTGAAATGCGAGTCATTTCTATTCTGAATGCTCTACCTGGCACTGAACCCAGTTGCATCTTCCATACACTCTTACAATAACTTTTATGATTTTGGTTTTTATTACACATGTATGGGCTGTCTTGCCTGCATGTATGTCTATGAACAACATTTGTGTAGTGCCATAGGAGGTCAGAAGAGGGCATTGGATCTCCTGGAACGGGAGTTATGGATTGCTGCAATCCACTACTTGGTGCTGGACTGAACCTGGGTTCTCTGCAAGAGCAGCAAGTGCTTTTAGCTGCTGAGCCATCTCTCCAGTCCTACTTAGAATACTTTTTACATTCCTGATAAAATAGAAGCTGCGTTTTCCAACACCCATCTTCCTCATCACTCTATTTTCTATATATTATCCCTTATGCTGGAAGGAGCTATTATTTTAATACATCTAGTTGATATACAGTTATAGCTTATGATCCACTTTTCTGTAGACTCATCTTTAAGAGTATTCCAGGTGTTTCATAGCACCAGGGAGTTCACACCCAGTTCAGTCTGTTAGTGACTAACAGCTCAGCTCAGAGAACCAACTCATACAGGAGCCTGTGAAACACCCAGCTGTTGGGTATATGCATTTAGTCAGACTTGCCAAGACCACACATCGGGGTGGTCTGTTTTTAACATATGTCTTTTGAGAAGGTTTTGTTTTGAGACAGAGTCTTACTATGTTGCCTTGAATAGCCTGGAGCTCACTATGTATACCAGGTTAGCCTTGTATTGTATTAAAGGTGTGTGTGTGCCCAGCTCTTGAGAATGTTTACAAAGTCGGGATACTAGAAATTTTGAGTTGAAAAGAGCCCCCTTATTTCACCTATTCTAAATTTTGGGATCCTGGAATCTCCCCCATTCTCTCCCCTAGTTACATTTCATCATCTGTGGTTCTCTCTGGGTTATTGTCTTCTTTGAGTCATCCATCTTTCTATCCATTTCCCCTCCAATTCTCGGACAGAAGGAAAGAAAACTGTCCCTTATTATTGGAAATGAGTGAGTTATGGTGGCAATGATTATTTAGGTTGAGAAAAACCTGTAAGTCCAATCAAGGAGAAGGAAAAAAAACTTCCTCTTAGGTCTCTCTCGCTCTCTTACACACACACACACACACACACACACATACACACACACACACACACAGAGAGAGAGAGAGAGAGAGAGAGAGAGAGGAAGAGAGAGAGAGAGAGAGCCATGCACACAAGAAACTAGAAAATAGAAAATATTAGGTTCTCCCTCTTATCTAGCCCAAGGCTTCCCCAGCATCCCTGGAGGTCAACAACAGGGAGGTTCCCCTCTTGGCAACCTGGAGCCAGTACTCACTGTAAATGGTCTGATGGGGTGTGCCATCTACATGGCCATCCTTGTGGATCTGTAGGTGATAGCTGTTCCTGGCTGTAGCTGTGTACAGGTGGGTCAGGCTGCCCCAGTTAGAGCCCAGCAGTGGGGAGGTGTCAGGATAGGCTCCAACAGTGCCCAGGCTGCAGACACTACACAGAGCACCCACCAGGAGTCTGAGGCAGGTCCCCAGCATCGCACTGCTCTCTGAGTGGCTAAGGCTCAGTTTGAAATCTGACACTTCCAGCCAGGCCAGTGGGATCTTGCTGACCTTCCTCTCTTCCTAGGAAGAAACTGAGAAACTGGAGTGGGGATCCTGGGCTGGATTCCCTCCTTTTTGCCCTGGGACTTTTAAAGGGTAATGGTATGACATCAAACAGGAAAAACAACGCTGCCACATCCTCTGTGTTGTAATCATCCATTGGAAGAAGAAGCCCAGACTTCTTAGGCTTGCGGAAGGCACGTCGGTTCCAGGCACACACATACGCGCACGCACACACCCCTCAATTGCAAGTCAGTGCTCCCAAAAGTGAATAATGCGTGGGCAAAAGTTATCTGTGACCGTGGGTCATCCGTTGACCTGTCCCACTTCCATCAGGAAATGTGAAGGCAGCCAACAGTCTTTAAAAAAAAAAAAAAAAATAGCAACACATCAGTCACCCGCCTCCTCTGCAGCTCATCTCCCTTCAATGTACTCATTTTGGTTTGCTCAGGCCTTTCACCTCCACTGCCAAGTGTGTACCCAGAGCTACTCCTAGCTGCTGCATTAGGCAGGTGATACCATCAGACAAATGAGACCCCCATACACACCCTAGGAAGGGTGTGTTAGATAGGGGCAAGTGCTCAAAACCCCTTCATTCCCATTTACAAAGTCTTCAAGACAAAGAAGGAAGAAAACAAGGTCTTGAGGTCAGCAAAAATGGCAAGGTCCGGCTTCTCAGTTTCCCTCGTTTGGATGATGCAGGGAACTAAACTGGCAATTATGGCTTTGCCAATAGGAAGGAGACTCATTCGGAGGACTGGAATGACACTGCCGGCTGAGCAGAGGGGTCAGAGGGCAGGAAGCATCCAGGAGCTGCAGGACGGGACATCTCCACCACCAGTGTCTGCCCACTGGGACCTTGTTGTGTGAGTGGATGCCTCATTGAGGAAACTGCTCTCTGCCCACCTTCTATGGCGATGCTTCTGGTGTAGGGGTAGAAGGGGCGAGGGTGGGGTCTCCAGCTAGCACATACAGTCCATTGGAGGGCAGGCTGCTGCAACAGACACCAGAAAGACATGACCACAAGGAGAGTGCTGCTCACTCAGTTCACTGAGTCCCTACCATGGATAGGTATACCACAGGGCATCACAGTTAATGTGAGAAACAGCAAGATGGGACCAGTGCAGCCGAGGAAGCAGGGAAAGACGGATAGCCACGTGTAAAGTGCTGGTTGAGGTGAGTGGAGATGCCAGCCCCAGCTCCAGTGGGCTCCAGGTGTGTGTAGTCTACAGAGACTTTCCTCATCTGCTAGTTCTTTGAACTTGACTGCAACTCTGTAAGATGGGCACACCAGGCTATTAGTATTTTTTTAAATTGTATTTATTATTAATTTAATTATTTACCAAGACAGGGTCTCACTATGTAGCCTTGACTGGCCTCAAGCTCACAGAGATCTGCCTGCTTCTGTCTGCTGATTGCTGGGATTAAAGATGTGTTCACCATAGTTGGCCTTAATATTTTTTTTTAATTGTGTAAGTGGGTAGGTTGCCATGTGTGGGGTGTTCACGTGTGTATTTATGTGCACTCAAGTAAAGGTCAGCAGTTACCCTTGGGGCTTCTCCTTGGGTCTTCACACCTGAGCTTTTGAGACGAGGTCCCTGACTGGGACCTAGGATTTGCCAATTAGGATAAGCTGGTTGGCCAGCAAGGTCCCAGGGTCCTCCTGCTTCTACTCCCCCAGTGGGTCCTGGGCATCAAATGCAGGCCCTCATGCTTATGGGTCAAGCATTTGCTAATGGAGTTATCTTCCCAGCTTTAGTATTTTAATGTTATACACGAAGAAACAAAGAGCTGGAATGTGTATTTCTATTTACTAAGTAATCCCTGGGAGAGCTGGAACAAGGTCTACCAATGCCCCAGGATGCTGCTCCAGGAAGAATCAGAGCCAGGATAATACTCACTGAGAGATCACTAGCCCACTTAACATCCTGTTCATTCTTCCCTTGCGTGAACTCATTTAGTAACCCTGTAAGGAGACAGTGACTAACTTTACACACATAAGGAGACCAATGAGAAGGGGCTAAGGAACTTGCCCAAACACAGATGACCAGTGCACAAAAGGAGCAGTGGCCAGCAGGCGGGACTCTGCTCTCCTAAGCCCTTTGAATGACACCTAAATTCCCAGGACCCATCAGAGCCAGAGTTATGTGAAGAAGAACAGGATTCCCTAGTAATCAAGCTTTCTCCCAGACTATGTCTCTAGGGAATATGCACTTGTCTCTCCAAGGTTGGTAGAAGTTCCCTGATGTTTAATTGTTTATGTCTGAGTCTTATTGAATGATGACCACAAGAGAGGGTGGTGGCACACATCTGTGTTCCTGGTGTTTTGGAAATAGAGGCAGGAGGAGCAGGAGTTGAAGGTCGTTATCAGCTACATAGGAAGTTGGAGGGCAGCCTGGGCTATGTGAGATCCTGTCTCATAACCCAATGAATGCCTCCAGCTCCTGGTGTTATCAGACTTGGGCTGCTGTCAGTATTGTGTAGGAAGCGTTACTCTGCAGTGGGCAGCAGCCAGTGCAGAGGCTCACAACTGGTCACAGTGCTGAGAACGGGACACCGAGTGCTCAGCCCTAAGCTGGACATCTGTATTTAGACCCACCCATGAAGGTACAGAGGAAAAGATGGAGAGGACCAAGAGCTGGAGGATGGGGAGGGGTGCTGCGGAATGCTGTCTTCTAGACCGGACACAGCTATTACTCAAAAACTCATAGCAACTGTGGTTGCCTGTCCAAGATCAAACCAACCAAACCCCAAGCATAGAAGGGACAGAAGACTTCCAGGCCTCACCCCTTACTGAGGAGCTGTTGGTAGGAAATTGTAGCTGGGGAAAGACGTGTTTTGTTTTGAGGATGTGGTAACTGGTAGGTTTCTCATGCTGCAGTTAATGGTCCCGGTTCTACATCCATATCCCTAAGGGCAACACTAACTGCAATTGAGGAGTTATCAAAGGAAGAGATGCAATATTACGTTGGAAGGGCACATGTTGAGAGAGGATAGATATGATCACAGCTCATCGTATATATGTTTCAAATTATCAAAAGTAAAGAAAAATTAAAAAGAAAACACCAACAATAATAGTAGCAGCCACAAAACAGTTCATAAGTATAACAGAACTCCTTGGCTAATTGAAAGAATAACTCGCTTTCAGACCTGAAATGCCAATTTCTCAGAAACATTTGCTGATTTGGTAACCTCATGTTTCCTCTTCCGGTTAAGAATAGTAAAGATCTGGGAAGTTCCTGTGGTTCAGTTCACGGCTACTGAGAATCTTCTCTGAGAAGAGAGACAAGGAGGAGGGAGTTTTAGGAATAAAGAACAGAACACATATTCCTCAAGGGTTCCGATACCACTGAGAAAGGCTTTGCTCACTCCCAGGCTCTGTAGGAGTGCCAAATTAGCCTTATGTGAAAGAAATGCCAAAGGCATTCACATAAGCAAGGCCATCCAAGGAATGATGCAGCCTCCAGCTTTGAGGGAAGGGGAGAGTTGAATATGCTTTGCAGGAATGACAGGAAAGGTTGTCACCCACCATCGCTGGCTGGGTTCCTGGAGAGATAGCGGGAATAGAGCTCTGGATCTGTCCACATGTCTTACAAGGAAGTGGTGTCCACAGACTTTCCTTCTAAGAGAGGCTCCAGACACCCAGCAACGGGGATCCGAGGTTGCCAGCCTTGTTTATCAAGGTGTGGCAGACATGTTCCGTTACCCACCTAACAAGAGTAACATGAGATGCAAGGCTCTCCAGATAGTTCTTTGCATTTTGCAGTGTGGAAATTTTGAGAAGGAAGATGAAGTTTTGCCTATTGGGACAGGGTGGAGGCGACACTTCCAGCTCCTGGATTCACTTCCAGCTGTGGAATTCCCAGAAGAACTTTAAAACCCAAACATCCTAGGATTGATCTCATTTTATCCCTGCTGAACCAGAAGGGGTCAGGATGGGGACATCCACTATATGTGCTTTGTTCAAAAGAACTCAGAATATTTGGATACTCAAGTGTTTTTCAACAAGTGGGCTCTGAGCGCTGGCGGGCACTAGATTTAGTACATAGAAACCAAGGCTTCAAGCACAGTCCTGGTCCATGTCCCCCTATCTTTTAGAATGCCTCACTTAACTGAAAATTCAGATGCATCTGGCTGGAGAGTGTCAGTGTGCAGGCACACAGCCTTTCCCTAGAGCCTGGAGGGTGGTCTCTCAGGCTCCAAAGGGTGATGAGCCTTGGGAGCAGCCCTTCAGGCATGTTGGTTTTGTGGCATTGCATCTAGAGGGCACCAAAGTGAAACTCAGACACCAGATGTGAGCAGGAACCTCTGGGTCGGATTCTTTAAGGATGTGCCACATGTTGATTTCTGGTGGATGACTGGATGTGGCTCGAGGGCTGGTCCCATCTCTATCCTGCCATGGAAGCCCCGGAGCCGGCCTCAGGAGCATTTGCTTGGGAGCTGTGTAGAAGTCTTTGGTGCAGTCCCTGCCATTATACTCACAGATCCAGGCTTCAAGTGTGGAGAGAGACAATGAGGCTCTCTTTGTTTTCATCAACCGTGCTTATTTGGAGTATTCTTAACATTACTCTTGAAAAAGAAAAAGGCTTATTCTTATTGTATATGTGGTGTAAGCACCTGGGTGTATGTATGTGTACCATGTGTGTGCAAGTGTCTGTGGAGGCCAAAAGACATCGTCATCTCCCCTGGATTTCAAGTTACCAGCAGCTGTGAGCTGCCTACTGTGGACCCTGGGAACTGAACCTGGGTCCTCTGCAAGAGCAGTGCTTATTCTTAACTGCTCAGCCATCTCTCCAGTCTGATGTGAGACATTTTTAATGAGATTAAAAAAATTAGCAAACCAACATCTCACCCCTGGTATTCTAGCAACATCAGCTCTAATGACACAGATTTCAGCTACAAATGGTAAGAAAAATATCCCCAAAGCTGTCACAGCCCCAAGCATGGCAAAAACCTGCCAGCCACAATCAAGCTGCCATGGTAATTTAATACAGTGTGACTCCAACTAACTCCACATGAGCCCAGGCAATCCAAATGGT